ACCTAAATGCTAAATCAGGTTAGTCTCTACAACTGTACCATCAGTAGTTATACCTAGCAAGAATAACTGAAGGGTAAACTTTAACCTTTTTTAAAGAGCATTTTGCATAATCCACCATATTTTTTATCCAAAATGCTTTTACCTTTTTACAAGTCCACCATATATGATAGTATGTAGCATCAAGAAAATCACATCTCCAGCATTTAGGTTGTAGATTCGGATACATACAGGCTACTTTTTTAGGAGATCATTCTTGATCTTCTGATGCTCTGATATTATTCACACAGCTTCTGATCTAGTTAATAAGAGATCTGCTCCACTAACCAGACTGCAATTATCTGAAATGATCTAAATATCTGAACTCATTGTATAGTATTAACATCAACATGACCTTATTTAACAAATTTAAGCTTCTTGATAATCTCCGAACAGTTTAGATGTTTGGGACTGTTTGCTTTATTTTCTTATTTAGAATATGACTCTCCTAAGATATTTGTTCTAGTCCTCAATTCATTTGTTACTAAAATGCTAGATTAAGAAAACAAACAGTACCAGTGGCCATTTGGAATGAGATGTAGGTAGAAAATAGATTTGCCCTACCAATTCAGAGCTATTCCAACATTTTGGATTTCACCTGTCACAATGTCCCCCACTTACATTGCTACTGAACTGTTAGCATAGGTAAGTGGAATTCACCCCTGATGAGAAGCAAAATGTCTTAAAGGAAAAATAAAAAAAGTCCCATTTGCCTTTTGAAAAAGCACCTTTGGGATTCCTTTTTGTTTCCATGCTTTTTCTGTTTTTTGCCCTATGGCCAAGGAATTGATAATAGTTGCATAAGACTCTCTCTTCTCTTCGAGCATTTCCTAGTCGAAATCAATCTCCTGAAAACAATAATCTGACCCAAATTATACAAATTCAGAACTGCACTGTAACCTCCATATTGGGAAATTAATGGCTTGGAATGCAGAAGAAATTGATATTTTGATGTTATGTGTGTTTTAATGAATAAAAATGTAACCATGCGATCATTTCATTTGCACTGCTTCAAATGTACACAGTAGTTCTAACCATTGTTCTTTTTCTGGATAATGGCATAGCCTTTATGATACACGATCTAAAGACCTTAGTCGTAATTGAAGCTGCCTTCCTGTTGTGGTTTCCTAAGGGCAAGTTTCATTGAGCACAGTGGGATTTACTTTGGAGTAGCTTTGAGATCTGCAGTCAGGTGCTGCAAGAACAACTGGAATATGACAAGGATGCAATGGATAGACATGAACTCCTTAGATATTTGCTTCTAAAATTTTCTGTTTTTCTTCGTAGCTCCTGCCCAGGCACAGATCATTCATGCTGGGCAGGCATGTGTTGTAAAGGAAGATAACATCAGTGAACGAGTGTACACTATTCGGGAAGGTGACATCCTTGTTCTGCAGTGTTTAGTTACAGGGCACCCACGGCCACAGGTAAGCTTTCTCTTCTTATTATCAAAATATTGTTTGATCTGGTATTCTCAGGTATTCACTGCTATATCAATATAGAGATTCTTTTTCCTTCTTTTTCATCGTTTTTTTAAAGTTTTATCCTAGTTGACTTTGAGCAACTCTGGGAAGCTATCAATAATCAAACAAAGATATTACGGTAAAACATTTAAAATAAGGGGGAAAAGATAGCGAGTGCAATAAACAAGGGATCTGAGATCTCATGGAGTGGGAGTGAGGAAGCCCTGAGTGTTTCACCATTTCCCATTTCCCTAGCTGGCATAACCAATGGCAAGGAATTGTAGAGGTTGTAGAACCAGGAAACCAATTCATACAATCCACAATATGCAGATTCCTGGCCAATTCAATCTCGTAGAGTTGGTTTACCCTGCAGGTCCTTTACAATTCTTTTGAACAACAGCAAAGTGGAAGCCATCTGAATCTCGGGGAAATCTCATTCTAGAGTGCAGATACTACTACAGAGAAGACATTCTTCTGAGGATTCAATTTATGACTTTGTATATTCAGAGAAACTCACAGGACACCCACCGTGCAAGACTGAATTGGCCAGGCATAATATCCACTGCATATGTGGCATTCAGAAATGTCCAAGTCTAATGAAATAAAAGACATTATCAGATTCACCATAATGTTGCATGATCCTTATGGTTTTTTTTCATCCACAAAATAGAACGAATAGGTGTATTTTGGATAATATGAGTTGGTTGTCTTTTCCTATAACTTCTACTAAGGAGAAACATTTAGAAGGTATGCATTTTGTATAAACATCAAATACTTTGCAGGCGCTTCTTCAAGCATATTAATTAACAGCTTCTTAGAGCTCTAATTTTCCAGAGTAACTACTACACAGGTATTAACACAGACTGAAGACTGAAAGATTTCCCATCTTTCCACTAATCAAAGGTCCATAACCGCCTTTGATGGGCCACGGTGGCTCAGTGGCTAAGTCGCTCAGCTTGTCGATCAGAAAGGTCAGCAGTTCGGCAGTTCAAATCCCTAGCACTGTGTAATGGAATGAGCTCCCGTTACTTGTCCCAGCTTCCGTGTTTAGTCATGCCGGCCACATGACCATGGAGATGACTTTGGACAGTGCTGGCTCTTCGGCTTTGAAGCGGAGATGAGTACCCCCTCCCCCCCGAGTCGGGAACGACTAGCACATATGTACGAGGAAACCTTTACCTTTAACCCGCTTTGAAAAAAGACAATTTGAAACATGCAGCAGCATGTCTTAAACATCTATTTTTAAATCATTAAAATCATGCTGTGTTTTTTTTTTCCAGGTTTGTGTCTCTGCTTCAGAAGCTTCCCCTGGCTGTCTTTGCACGCAAAGTGTGTATGTCAAGCCACGTTGCTTCACTGGGAGGAAAATATGGAGAATTATTGGGGGAAATGTGAAGCAATTGTGCCTGTATGTGCATGTAGTGACTTTTAGGAGCACCTTCCAAAGCAATAATACAAGCCTGGAGAAAATTGCACCTCCTTTAACAATTCCCTCAAAAGTGCTTTAGATATCCAAAGTATCTCTTTCAAAATATTTTTACAGCATGAACTTGGGCTATCATTAAGTAAAATGAGGCCACCTTTTTCAAATGACAAGAAAAAAAACCTGACTCTGGTGTAGAAGACAGAATTACAAACCACATGATCAGCTGAGCTAGCATCTTGCACAAAAATACAATGGATACAAAAATGCAATGTATATAAAACTGTAATTTCAGTTTTGAATGGTTTCTCTATGGCGTGCATTCTTCTAACATTATAATGTCTTGATCTAGCCTTTTATAGTACTTTCAGAATGGCACTTCCTGCTTAGAGGACAAGGTTACAGAGCTAGGGCCAGCTAGGAAAAGAGCTTGGAAATATATTTCTATTATTATTTAAAAATAGAGAGAAATAGAAGATTCAGTTCTTTTTGTTCATAATATACATGATGCAGAAGGAAGACTTAGCATACAGATAAAGAATTTCTATTCACTCGTGTCATGGCTGTTATATCCATGGCATCTGAATTTACAGCATGAATATAAATCCATATTTCTTGATTTCTAGGGCTCCCTCCTTTTATTTTGATTTTCTCTCAAACTAGTTTTCTTGTCTTTGCTTAGCATTAGTCAGGAAGGGACAGAGTTTTGAAATTTGCTTTAAAGTTTGTATTAAAAAAACACATTTGGCTAAAAAAATTGAGTGATGAGTAACACACACAGGGACCCACTGGGAATGGGCAGTAATTCTTACCGTCTCTCTTCTCATCCTCCTCTTGTATCGTTTCTTTGTTCCCTCTCCCCTGCTTCTCCAAATCAAAGCTTTGTCTTTTAACCTTTGCTTAATCCCCTCCCAACTCTTCCCTCAGTTAGTCATTAAAGTTCCAAAATATGGTCAAACTAAATAAATGAAGCTGAAATGAAAAAAGCAGAGGAAAGATTAAAGAACCAGCAGAACCAGCCGTGCAAACAGAACGTTCTTTAAGAAGCTCCAGGCTTCTAATGAGAGGACAAAGGCTAAACAAATCCCTCATGGGCTGCCATTAACTTTACAGGTGAAGCAAGGGGGGGGGGGGGCTGCTGAACCTGATCACCCCAAGCTTGAAATCCAAGCCACCTCACATATAGACTATCAATCAGAATAGAATTGCAAGGGACAATACAATAGCAGAGTTGGAAGGGACCTTGGAGGTCTTCTAGTCCAACCCCCTGCCTAGGCAGGAAACCTTACACCGTTTCAGACAAATGGCTATCCAACATCTTAAAGACTTCCAGTGTTGAAGCAGTCACAGACCCTATACTAGGGGTGTCAAACTTGATTTCAGTGAGGGATGCATCAGGATTGTATTTGACGGCTGTGATGGGCGTGGCCAGTTCAACATCACTTGTGTGATCAAATGCCACTTTTGCTAGTAGTTTGTTTTGCTAGCACTCTGCCAACAAAAAAGGAGATTGTGAGGGCTGCAGATGGTCTTCACAGGCTCTGTTTTCAGCTGTGATGGCCTCCTGCAGCCTTCTGCCAGTGAAAACAGAGCTTATGAGGCCGCACGCGGCCCTCCTGGGATCTATTTTCAGCTGTGACAGCCTTTTGTAGCCCTCCTCACCACCATTTTCACTGGCAGAGTGTTGCAGAAGGCTGTTGAAGCTGAAACAGCCTTTTGACACCCTCCTTGCATTCTGTTTTCACTGCAGAAGGCTGTTGCAGCTGAAAATGGTACCCAGGAGAGCTGCGTGTGGCCTCACAAGCTTGTTTTCATGGCATAGGCACCACAGACTGGTCCTCTGCTGTTTCCAAGGAAGCTCCGTGGGCCAGATCTAAGCACCCCATGGGCCGGATTCGGCCCACAGGCCTTCAGTTTTACACTCCTGCCCTATACCATTTCAGACAAGTGGCTGTCCTGTCTTGTCTTAAAAACCTCCAGTGATGAAGCATCCTCAACTTCTGAAGGCAAGCTGTTCCACTGGTTAATTACCCTCACTGTTAGGAAGTTTCTCCTTAATTCCAGGTTTCTTCTCTCCTTGATTAGTTTCCATCCATTGTTTCCAGTCCTACCCTCTGGTGCTTTGGAAAATAAATTGACCCCTTCGTCTTTGTGGCAGCTTCTCAAATACTGGAATACTGCTATCATGTCATATCATGATATCATGTCATGTCAGGCCTGTGTGCAAGGAGAAGTTTACCAAAAGCATATGAAAGTGCTAATATTGTTGCTTTCCAGCTTTGTAGTTTTATAGCCAAATATTTAAACCCTCATGGGTTTGGTATGAATTTGTTTAAGCATCTGCAAAATGGGACTAACTGTGTCTTTCATCACACAGAGGAACGTATGAAAAGTACTTCCAGTCTGAAGTGAAAATTGTCCCCATACCCACATCTACTTTCTCCGTCACTAACTCACTTTTTATATCCACTCACTCTGAACCTGTGGTGGGATCCTGCCAGTGTAACAACTGGTTTGATGATCGCATGCTTTGTGTATGTGCTCCGTGCATGTGCACAGTTTTTACAAAACTTACCTTCCACATTACTTCTGGGGAGTAACACAACTGAGGTGTGGCAATCCACTCTGCCACACGAATCAGCTGAGAGGATATAGGTAGGTAAAGCACAGGGGCGGGCAGGCAGACCCACCTGATCATCAGAGTGAATCGGTTCGCTCCCCAACTGATCGTCAGAGCTACCGGTTCACCCAAACTGGTCCAAATCAGCTGAATCCCACCCCTGCTCTGAACCCTCCAAAATATAGTACATTAATTCCATTTAAAAATGTTGATTGTATTCCATCCTCCTGCTGTTTCTGGTCCATTTCACACATCAAACAGGGGAAGGTAGTCAAGAGGAAATCAAAGCCTGTGGGGATCATATCGTGGCAAGGATAGGTTTGTCACTTGAAAGCTGATTTGGTTCAGACTGACAGTACCCATGTCTGGGGAAAAAGCTAACTTGATTATCAGGGCTAGAGACATGGTTATGATTGTATTGAACCATGTGGGTGGAATATAGGATGCTGCTTTCAGTATTCACAGAGCTAGGTCTAGCCTCTGTTTTCATCTATAATGACTAAGACTTCATACTGGAAGCTTTCCTTTTCATGCTTAGAAATATCAGTGGAAGAACTTGATGCTTTCTCTGCATGCCAGATGTAAGCGCCTGAGCCCTTAGCAATCTAATCAGCAGCAGCTCACATCCTATCTTAAGTCAATATCCCTGATAAATAATTATAAATTAAAGCTAACGCAATTGTTAAGGAGGCCAATTTCAATTTAAAGGATCCTTTTGCTATTGATTTTTCTGTTCTCTTTAAAGAAAGTGTAGTTGATATTTTAGGAATTAATTTTACTAGAATAGCAAAATCCTTACCTTAGTAAAAAAGGTGGGGGTGGATAAGTTAACGATAGAGGAACTGGATGTGAGGATGGGGGCACCGAAGAACTACTTCCTGATGAAATCATGGGATTTGAAACTTCACTGATTCTGGCAACCAATTGGAGATATACAGTATGAATAGTCTATATTTGACTCCACTTGTCAGGAAAAGTTGTAAGGCAAGAAGCCAGACTATGGAGCCTCTGACTAAAATTGCCCTTAAGTAGGGATGTACATGCTTGCCATATGAGAAATCTGATTTTTCTGCTGAGTAGAATTTTTGCCTACAGAAGATTGCAGATTCAATTTCTCGTAGAGCCCACTTGAGATATAGAGAATTTCCTGTCAGGAAATTTAGAGAACTGCACCCTGTCAACCTAAATCCTATTCCCTGAAAAGTAACAGCCATGTATTAACAAGGAAGCATAATGTGGCTGAAAGGCAGAATCTTAGGCCATGTCTTCACCATAAACCAGTATTGTTATGAACATTGGCAATCACAGGGTGGAGTAACTGATTCTCGACAATACTGTGAAACAGACAAGGGCTTGTTCTCCAATCTTGTCATGTTCCGTTTGTGATTTTTAGTAAAGACAAAGATAATGGAAGCATTAGGCAAGCTGTAGCTCATAAGGAAAGCACTGCTGGATCAGCCCAAGATCTGGTTTAGATGTTATGGTTTCACACTGAGGCCACTAGATGCTTCTGGAATGTTCATGTAATAATTGGTTTTAATGTATGAGGTTCTCCAGCAGCCCTTTCCAATTCCCCAAATAGTGTTGGGATCATTTTGTGGGGCCCTTTTAGGAGGGTTAAAAGGCAAGCCAACATACTCATTCTCATACTCATTCTGTCATCTCTCTTAACGGTTCCACCACAAATCCGTGAAGCCCTTATCCACGGAGACATACACGCGAAGACTAATTCGTGCCGTTCTAAGCGCTAAGGAAAAACACGACCCTACCGCGATGACATAATCGCGGAGGGCAAAATCCCCAAGCACTCAGTACCCTAAACCTAACCCTAAACCTAACCCTAACGCTAAACCTAACGCTAAGCCTAAACCTAACCCTAAAACAAACCCCTAAACCTAATCCTAACCCTTACCTTAATTGAAGTCGGCTTTCTGCCGCGGTGCCGTTTTAAAGCGCCCTTCTGTTGCCGCGCTGTTGTCGCGGCGGTGATGATGTGCGGTGATGACGTCGCGGCTTTAGCACCGCGATTTTATCACCGCGATTTTGACTAGCGCGGTTTTGACGTGCCACGCTCTTAACAGCCAGACTGAAAAGCCAGATTTGTTCATTCAGATGATTGCAACACAGCACTGGCCATACTTTTGGATTATTTGGGGGGCAGGCGGGTGGATGCTTCAGTCCACTTCCTCAAGGGAGTTGCACACTCCCAATTTGTATGTGTTACTCATTTATTCTGTAATTTTATATGTGGAATATAGATGGGCCAAGACTCAAGATACTTTTCCTGCACATATTTCTGATTTTAGTGCTAGTTCAGATTATGGCAGATTGACAGTGACGGCTGATAACGGTGGCCTGCCTGTCCTCTTCTGGAATTAGCATTCCATCCTGGGTAGAAATGCTATTATATGATGATTTGCCAGCTTTCCTTATGCCCTTTGCTCACCAGTCTGCTGCTCCCATTTCTGCATTTCCATTGCATCTGCCAGTTTTCTAACCACTTTGCCATCTGTTCTAATGAAAAATGGAAGCAACATATTGTTTTTGGCCTAGCCAACAATCTGAATATTACATCTTTTCCATGTCAAGTCCCACCTCGTTCATCCTTTTCTTTATTTCTACCTGATTAACCCATTTCTTTCTGCCTGCCCGCCTGTATTTATGCTTCTGGGATGCCAAAGTAGACCCCTTTCTAAATGAGAAAATTTGAATGATTGCAGTGTGCGCTATTCCTTTCCTCAATATATTTCATTGCCTTACCTTTTTCTTTTTATATACTTATTACATAATTTCCCCAATAAAATAAAATACAAATTGAAAAGGAACGAGAAAGTGCAAAAATAAAAAAGGAAGAAATTGGAATTAAGAAATATAAGAATGACTTCTGATCTTCTTTTCAATTGCAGTTTCATTATCCCTATCCCTAAGATGTTATACAAATCCCTTCAGCCCTCACTTAATCTTCAAATCCATAAATCATCATGCAATTTCTTTCTTCTTTCAGCAGAAATTTCCATAAAAGGTTTTCAGTCTTTTAAAAAAAAAAAGGTTTTGATTGTATTTTTTCTCCAGCCATTTCTGCAAGTTCTGAAATTTTTACAATCCATTTCTACTGCTTTACCCTTTTCAACTCTGCAAGTCATTCATTCACTGCCCAGATCACTTAGGGAATAAAATAAATAACAAAATAAAATTATTGTATTCAAACAGAGGCATAAACAAACATCCTGGGAAGATTAATTAAGAGAGGGGAAGCAATATAGTGAGTCTGCATCAACTTACTTGTGGAAACTAACCATTTCAGGATTCTCAGGGTCTAGAGAGAATTGACTGAACTTACTCTGTTCAGAAATGTGATGATCCCAATTAGCCCTTATGCAGCTATGCAAACATAGCTTCCTAAGCACTGTGGTGATTGCTAACCAAAAGCAAAATAATAGGAGTTACTGCTGGTATCTTTGGAATCTCCAGAGTTATCAAGAGAGCCCTCTTCATTGGCAAAAATAAGATCCTATTTAAGAGATGTGGTGGCTCAGTGGCTAAAACGCTGAGCTTGTTGATCAGAAAGATCAGCAATTCAGCTGTTCAAATCCCTAGCACCATGTAACATGCCAGCCACATGACCACGGAGACATCTTTGGACAACTCTGGCTCTTCGGCTTTGAAACGGAGATGAGCATCGCCCCCTAGAGTCAAAAATGACTAGCACATACCTTCCTTTACCTTCACCTTAAGATCCTATTTGGGGCAATATTTTTTTTAACATCCAAGGTGAAGACAAAAGATTGATTCAGATTGTGTGAAAAACTGATGTGAGATATAAACATGCAAATTTCATGTTAATTTAGATGCATGCCAAAAACATTTTTTATGAGGGACAGAAGGACTGAGATCAGATGCAGAAATCCTAGGTCTAAAGGTGTGTTATAGCAACAAAGCAGAAATATAGCTAGTCTTTGATGTATAATCTTTCATTTCGTGACCATTTGAAGTTACAATGGCACTTGAAAAAGTGACTTATGACTTTACAGAAACAACTATTGCAACATCCCAATGGTGATGTGATCAAAATTTGGGAGTTTGGCAACTAGCATGTATTTATGACAGTTGCACTGTCCCATGGTCATGTGATCACCATTTGTAACATTCTCAGCTGGCTTCCGACAAACAAACTCAATGGGGGAAGCCAGATTGGCTTAACAACCGCAGTTATTCATTTAACAACTGTGGCAGAAAAAGAAGATCATAAAATGAGGCACTTAACATCTTGCTGAAAATTTTGGCCTCAATCGTGGTCGTAAGTCAAGGACTACCTATATCAGTTATCAATAAATCTACAGATAAACAATCAGCTCTCCATCCATTAGGACACAACGGCAGGAGGAAGAGAGATAAGACTGGTATTTGAGGACTATTATCTACTTGGTTTAGAGGATGTGGTTAGCAGTTATTAGTTTTCTGTTCTAATGATAACTTTTCAAATATCTAATAAAACTAGATGTGCCCTGAAATCTCTGCCTGATAGCCTTCTAATTTTGAATATCAATCTGACATTGATATTCGTTCTGGCATTTAGCACATTGCTCATTTTTATGTATTTTTAATTGTTTTGTATGTTTGTATATTAAATGGTGCACTGTGTACCATAGCATGATAAGCAGCCTAAAAGCATTTCAAATAAATAATTGCTTCCTCTGATGGGCCCAGATCAAAGTTTGCTTTTCTCCTAAGCTTTATTTTTCTCTGTTTTTCTTCTTCCCCTCCTCTAGGTGAGGTGGACCAAAACTGCTGGCAGCGCCTCGGACAAATTCCAGGAGACATCGGTGTTGAATGAAACGCTTCTGATTGAGAAGATCCAGAGGCTTCAGGGGGGTCGTTATTACTGTAAAGCAGAGAATGGGGTTGGGGTCCCTGCCATCAAGTCCATTCGAGTAGATGTGCAGTGTAAGTCATTTTGTGGCCATCCAAGACTTCCCACAGTTCTACTGCGTGTGTCTTGATCATTTCACGAGTGAAATTCTGCATTGACCTAGACTCATTCTCATACCTCTGACGCAAAGGAATAGGCTTTGTTTTATCCATGCTCCCTTTCCTGAAAGTGCTGTTCTTGGACAAAAAGTCTTCATAAACTTAGTCAAGAAGGGTTGTGTACTATAGTCAGTGAAAGAGGTGGCATTCAGCCAGTTCTGACAGGGTCTGGAGAACCGGTAAGTGGAAATTTTAAGTAGTCTGGAGAACTGGCAAATAAAATGGCCCAGATTTCTTTTATTTGACTGTGGTCATGATTGCAGTTCTTCCTACTATTCGTCAAGGTCATTCCCTTTACACAAAAGTGTCAATTCACCCAATTGCACAAATAAGCATATAAATGATACAATAAATATGAGAACACAATGATTAAACCCCAAGTCTATCTTAATATTTTAATAAACCCCAAGTCTATCTTAATATTTTAATAAAATGGTAGAATTCCAATCTACTCTTTGGTATAGAATTCACTAGAGTATTTATGAATGAAGATCTCTAATGAACAACACTCTTCATGTGACAGTCTCTTATGCTGGCTGATGGTTCACAGAGCTCCGTGATGGCGAACCACTGGCACACATGCCACAGGTGGCACGCAGAACCATTTCTGAGGGAACACGAGGCATTGCCCTGTCAGCTCCAGCACACATGTGGGTGCTGGCTAGCTGATTTCAACCTTGATGTTCGGCAGTTTTTCTCCCTCCGGAGGCATCAGGGAAGCCTCCTGAAGCCTCCAGAGGGTCAAAAATGGCCCAATGCGCAAACTGGAAGTTGGAAGTGAGAAAACAGGCCATTTCTTGAAGGACATCCAGGGTGTGGGGGAGGCTATTTTCACCCTCTCCAGGCTCTGAGAAAACCTCTGGAGTCTGGGGAGAGCGGAAAATGGGTCCACCGTGGCATCAAGTGCCAAAAGTGGGTTGAGGGTGGTTGGGTTGCATGCACATGCGTAGGATGACATGCGCATGCATCGGCGGTTGGCACGCATTCATGGGGGGATTGGCACACATGCATGGAGGGTTGACGTGCATGCGTGGGGGGTTGTGTGTATGCGTATGGGGTAGGGTGCATAGAATTATGGGTGTTGGCATGTGTGTGCATGACCCCCTCATGCTCCCCCCCTTTATGGCACGCGATGGCACGCGATCTCTGACATAGTTCTTAAAAGCTCTTAAAAGTTAAAGTTCCTCTTAAAGTCTAGTTTCAAATCCTTGTAAATTGATTCTAGCCCTATTCTCTCAAGCAATAGAGAAAGTCCCCTCCTCCTTCTGTATGATAGCTCTTCAGATATTTGAAGATGGCTATAATCTGTCACTTGGTCATTTTATTTTGGGGCTGAACATACTCCTAGCTTTTCCATTCCTGACAATCATCCCTGACCAGACTTGATTTTAGACACTTCACCATCTTGGTAGTCCCTCTTTGAAATGTCTCCAATATGTCACGTCTCTTTGAAAGTGATGTGCCCAAAACCAGATACAGTTCTACACAAGGGTCTCATCTAGGCAGAGTACAGTAGAAAAAAATTACTTCCCATGTTCTACGGGAATCCTCAATTTACAACAGTTCATTTAGTGACCATTTAAGGTTACAACCACACTGGAAAAAGGGACATGATCATTTTTCACACTTTTGGCCGTTGCAGCATCCCCATGGTCATGTGATCAAAATTCAGACACTTAACAACTGACTCATACTTATGACGGTTGCACTGTTCCTGGGTCATTTGATTCTCTTTTGCGACTTTCTGACAAGCAAAGTCAATGGGAAAACCAAAGGGACGACAGAGAATGGGGTGGCTGGATGGAGTCACTGAAGCAATTGATGTGAGCTTAAATGGACCCAGAGGATGGTAGAGGATAGGAAAGCCTGGAGGAGCGTTGTCCATGGGGTCGCAATGGGTCAGACATGACTTCACAACTAACAACAACAATCAAGAAAGTGAAGTGTCTAAAATCAAGTTTGATCAGGAATGATTGTCAGGAATGGAAAGGATCTAGGAATGTTCAGCCTACAAATAAGATGACTGAGAGTCATTAATGTAACCTTCAAATATCTGAAGAGCTGTCATACAGAAGAAGCAACTTTATTGCTTGAGAGAATAGGGCTAGAGCCAGTTTACAAGGATGACTTGCATAACTTTTAATAGGAGATCAGATAAATTCACAGAGATCAAATAAATTAGATAAATGTATGAATTGATAACTTCAGAGCTTAAATTTAAAAAAATGCAGTTTGTTTAATGCCAGTTGTGGGGAAAACATCAGTATGCCTTGGGGTTCTGTGGGTACTCCAGAGGTAATTGGTGCTGGTTAAAATGCGCCCTGGCCTGATCCTGGAAGACTTTTCTTACATTTATAATCCCCTGTTCAAATATCTAGTAATGAATGATATAATTATCCCCACTTTCCTGCTTTCCTGAAATGTTTCTACTGGTTTGATAAATACACATCTTGCTTCCTCCCAGGTGACTGGCAGCAATCGCAGGTTGCTAAAGAAATTTTTTATAGGTCTCTGAAAGCTACTGGTGCCTCCTGCCAGCTGAATCAGCTAGCAAAGAGCAGTGTTTTTTCCCCAAGAGAATGTTGTGACAATATACAGTTAAACATTTCACATTTTACTTCACAAGCCTGTCCCGTCCCTCCCCAAAAGTCCATCCTTACCTGTATATTACTTTTAATTATATATGTACAAAACATTAGCATAAGGAGCCCCTTTTGGTGCCAACTGCAGAGGAGTTTTTAAAATCTTTTCTAGGAAATTTATGCTCTTTTCTTGAAATATTTAGGAGAAGCTTCACCAACTTGCCATCCTCCTCATTGTTTGAAAATTTGGGATATTGATTCTCTGCCAATTTTGTTAAGGCTTTTCTTCTTGTCCTCTTCTATTATACAGCTTCCCTGTGCTTTTTTTTTGCTTCTTTAATTTTATTTACCACAGATCATTGATCTTGGGTTATTAAAGAGTCCCATCTCAAAAGGGAATTGATTTCTTGTGCAGTTTCCCTTTGCTTCTAGGTTAGAGCTTGGATCTAAGCTGATGCAGAGTCCCGCTCTTCTTCCTATATTTCTTACCTTTAGCGCTATGGGGTAAATTGGGTGGCCAAGGGCTTTTCAATACTAACATCTACTCTACAGATGGACTTGGTAATATGCCTCTTGCTGTGTGTGTGTGTGTGTGTGTGTGTGTGTGTGTGTGTGTGTGTGTGTGTGTGTTGCTGTCCCAGAAAAGAATTTGCTTTTTTTTTTTGTAACTCTTTGTTTGATGGATAGATAGACGAATGAGAGAATAGGAAAGGACTAGATTAGTCCTTACCACTGCTGGCCTTAACTGCTTATTTCAAGACGTCTGCTTTGTTGGTCCTTAATATGCAACAAACATTCCCTTTCATTTACTATTGATGGTAATTAGACAGTTACTTCCAAAAGTGCTTTTTCAAGAGGCAACACGACTTCCTGGTCTTTCTCTGAAGATGTTAGCAATAGCAATAGCAGTTAGACTTATATACCGCTTCATAGGGCTTTCAGCCCTCTCTAAGCGGTTTACAGTCAGCATATCGTCCCCACAGTCTGGATCCTCATTTCACCCACCTCGGAAGGATGGAAGGCTGAGTCAACCTTGAGCCGGTGAGATTTGAACCACTGAACTGCAGATAGCAGTCAGCTGAAGTGGCCTGCAGTACTGCACTCTAACCACTGCGCCACCTCGGCTCCTCCAATGTTTTGCTTCTCATCCAAGAAACTTCTTCAGTCTGAAGCGAAACGTTTACAAAGAAAAACCAGCAAGTCCAGTTGCCTCTTGAAAAAGCACCTTTGGGACAACCAGGACCTGGATGACTGAGAATCTCCATAAACGTTTAAAGTTACTTGTGCCTTTCAGATACAATTACGATTGTTTCAATTTATTCGCTCAGAATTGTGATGTTTCAGTGTCTCTTTCTCGATCAAGTTTTAATCATTCCTGACACTTGGAAAAAGTACAAGGCACGTACCAGTAGTCTTTGACTAACAACAGTTTGTTTAGTGACCTTTCAACGTTACAACATCACTCTTACGACCATTGCAGGATTCCCATGGTCACAGGATCAAAGTTTTGGCTGCTTGGCAATTGGTTCATATTTATTATGGTTGCAGGGTTTTGCAATCATGTGATCACCTTTTGCAACCTTCTTACCAACACAGTCAATGGGGAATCCAGATTCACTTAACAACCATGTTACTAATTTAACAACAGGAATGATTCACTTAACAACTGCGGCAAGAAAGGTAATCAAATGGAGCAAAACTCACTTAACAAATGCCCCACTTAGCAATAGAAATTCTGGGCTCAATTGTGGTTGTAAGTCAAGGGCTACCTGTATAGAACTAGCCACAGATTCCAGATGTGACTATACTGCAGCCAAGGAAAGTTCAGACCTGTTGCAAACATGATCCTTTATTCGTGGGATTTCCTCAATACAAATACAGTGGATTAGTACTAAAAATTGAAATTAGTCAACTTTTTGTCCAAATTCCTAAGCAGCTTCCAGTTTTCAGAAAAATCTCAGGTCATTCATCCATATAAACGTGTTCCAAAGCTTCACATAAATCCCTGTAGAAGAAACTCAGCCAATCTGCTGCTACATTTCAGTCAGTGCCAGCAAAGCAGGTCTGCTGAAGATCCAGAAAACTGCCTCCACTAGCACAAAGTCACCAGACATCATTATTAATTAGGGAAGCTTTTCCTTGGAGCTTTTCCATGCTGGGAGGAAGAGATAGGAAAGCCAGATGGAAAGTGGGGACATTTAAAAGTTATATTGATATTGAAACAACCCACATGGTTGTATCATTTGGCAAGCTAATAACTATGGGTTGAATTAAGCTCTGATAGAGTTTTATTAAAAATGTGTATTACTGTAGGCATTGGTGTATCCAGCTAGA